CTGTGCAGGTCTACGTTTTGGTATAGCACTCATATAACGGTACCTCCCGATATTCGAAGTTCGTAATGGATACTAAAGCCTTTGACAAAAAATTACTTATGCAGGTCCTCGTCTTCGTGTAGCCGGATTTTTTTCAAATTTCGGATTTGAAGTTCGCAATAGATTATACAGCATTTGACAAAAATTGCATATTCAGGTCCACGTCTTCGTATAGCACCCATATAAATGTACCTCCCGATATTCGGTATTTTAATAATTTTAGCCACATTATTCACCGGAATTTTTTCAAATTCGGATTTGAAGTTTGCTATAGATTCTAACCATATGACACAAAATTACATATTCAGGTCCACGTCTTGGTATTACATCCACATAACAGTACCTCCCGATATTAGGTATTTTCATAATTTTAGCCATATTATTCACCGGAATTGTTTCAAATTTCGTATTTGAGGTTCGCTATAGAATCTAAGCATGTGACACAAAATAGACCTTACAAAGTACGTATTATAGAACATCGTAAAAGATATATATATATATATATATATATACGAAATTTATATATATATATATATATATATATATATATATATATATATATATATATATATATATATATATATATATATACGAAATTTGAAACTTTCGATGAATATTTGCAGGAACAGGGCATTCTGCGTCAGTTAACAGTGTTGCCGAACATGCAAATTACACATTAGTGGAGATCCGTTAGTCCATGCGAAACTAACCAAAATATGTGGGCAGAAGGTGTTGCTACAGCTGCGGAATCGTAATCCTACTAAAACCCTATCAAACATAAATCCATATGAAGCTTGTCATACTCCATATTTCTAATGTCAATAGAGATGAAGAGGCCAATGAAGTCCGCCTCTGCTTGGAATGTAGCATCATCAGAAATGTTTAATTGAGGTGCGTTATTTAACCAATATATTCCATGTAAATGGGGAGATCCTGGTTGTTGTAACTCTATTCTCCTGTAATGTTTAATAACATAATGGCCTTTCAATATTCCACCATTGGACCTGAAAAATTTAAATAAATGTCTTATTCCCTGATAGAAATATCTAGAGCATGTTATTGGATCTGTTCGGGTAAGATAATATTTTTTTTGGGTTCAGTAAGATATTGCTTCTTCTTCATTAATATCGTTTTCATCCAAAGTTTTTACCAATATAACGATTAATTCTGGCCATTGGGATTCAGCTGCGGATAATGTTATAAAAATGTCGGGAGTCCAAGCTGTCTAATCATGGCCAAAACATTTCTCTTTTCCCCTTCCCAATGAGCTGGTGACTATCGTACGCCTTTAAATATATGATATAGATAGCGTCATGTTTCATAAGGTTTTGCATATGTTAATTATCTAAAATTTCAACAGCAGTAAATTGTCTATTTCCAACTTTTTTTCTCAAGCATGTGGAAATGCTACTAAAGCAATATAAAACGTTTTCCACTCGTGCACACCGTCTGTAATAACGCCGAACTTCACACTTAATAATTTTTCCAATAGTAGCAGTGCAATTTTTTTTAAAACCGCTGTATATTGAAGGATAGGACAGTTTCAAAGAATCCTCATCCAAGAGCATATCTAATGGTCGTTGTCCCTCAATGGAAATTCTCTGTAAATTCTTTACAGGATTATTATCTAATAATGTTTCTTGTGTATTTACCTCACCCGCATAATCTTGTATGAATTTGGTATTGTTTAACCGCGATACTAGCTCGAGATCTTCATTGTTAGAGCAAAGGGTTGTTCTTATATAAAATCCATGCTATTTAACCGTAGAGTTCCGTATTTACAAGATATCTTGCGGCTTTGTAAATCTTCGCCGGACTTATCGTTTCAGTCATGAACTTGTGTTCGTACTGTAGTCTACGCTTAAGGTGAACTTGCACAACTTTAGTTTGATTGACTGTTCGCCGAAGCACATTCAGAGTTGTATTTAACTGAATTGGTACGTTAAAACGGCACCTCCTACAGCACATTGGCGATTGTATCCTAGAGAAACGATTCCCATAAAGGGTTTTCTAGGTGAAACGAATCGCACTTCTAACCACGAAGGTCAGCTGGTATGTCTGGGAAATGTAATCATTTAGAAAGGCATATTGAAGGTATTTTTCCATCTTGAGCAATTTTATAACATGTATTACAGAATTTGTATGTATTATTTCTGATGAAAATGTTGAAGCTTGAAAGAAAACTTCAGTTAGATGTGGATATTTCCGCAAGAATGTGATCTTACTGATATTTTTAATTTGTGTAATGAACCAAAGCCCTGCGCAGCAAATACAAATTTCTGTTGGAGCCTCCTGGTTATGTTGTGTCTGCTTGTAACATTTCCCTGCGGGATTCTGGGGAAAGATATTGTCTAATATTAGTACTTCTCTCCGACTGACGGTTATTTTCAAGTTCACGATTGTAAGGATTCATCAGGTTTTCGTATTGCCGCCATATTACACCACCTCCTAATACTCCTAAAATGTGGGCCAGATTTTCTAACAGATTTTTCTAAGCTTCGGTCCTTTGAGTTCCTAATGGATTCTACCTTTTGTGACCGAACATTGTCTACATGTTGTCCTATATCACACATTTAGCGGTACCTCCATATATTCAGTATTTTGCCAATTTAAGCCACATTTTCTTAGAAAATTGTCCGATATTAACATTTCAAAGGTTCTCCCTTGTGAGACATCACTTTACTAATAAAGGCCACATTCCGATATAGCCTCATATAATTGTTACTTTTAACATTTTGCCAAAATATTCAAAGAAATTGTGTTAAATTCGGTATTTAAACTTCGCATTTGTTCTTACCTCCAGTGGCAGGATACTAAATAGTTCTGGATATTCGATGTTTTGGTTATTTGTCCAAATTTTATCGGATTTGGTAAAAACAGGTTCTACATATGTGCATATACCCTTTGTATAGGTAAATTGAATATTTCGACCATATTCGGCGAAAGTTGGTCACAATTTGGAAATATACCTGTAGGATTGATTTGTTTCGTTTGACAATATTTCGACAGAGCCTTGCTTTAATAAATTTTAGGTCCAGGCATACGACATTTAAATATATTGATATTGTCATAAAGTGTCATAAAATGGTAGAAAACTTAATGGTTTTTTTAAAAAATTAATAAGTAAATGTAGGTATAATTACTATTAAACACCATAAATGGCAAGGTAATACAGGACCTACCTGATAAATATTTGTTCGAACGATATTACCTAAATACATTATATGTTGTATTTTACGGTGTAGTGGGCTACATGTATTGTTAAATGTTCAATTTATTTTGATTCTATTGGTAGTTTCGGAGTTTGGTTTGATAGGGTTTTAGTAGCAGCACGGTTCCGCAGCTGTAGCAACACCTTCTGGCAAAATATTTTGGTTCAGTTTCGTATGGACTGACATCGATCGGGACATCTCCACTAACGTGCGATTTGCACGTTCGGCAACAGCGTTTTGTTGTGATGTAAAAGCCACTGTTAACTGACGCAGAATGCCCTGTTCCTGTACTATGGACGGTATATTAAGTTGGCCATTCCGTTTGTAACTCCTCGAAATGTCCATGTTAGATCCAACGATGTTTATATATTCTGGATCAGCGTAAAATGCTAAATCGATCTATCAGTGTCCATCTGTCTGTCTATCTGTTGTAATCACGCTATCTTTCGAACGATGTGAGATAGAAGGCTAAAATTTTGCACACAGGTATATTATTTCAGTAGGCATGTTAAGTTCGAAAGTGGGCCGTGTCGGTTCACGTTTTCGTATTTGATGATTTTAGCTACATTTTCCGGAATTGTTTCAAATTTCGTATTTGAAGTTCGTAATGCATATTAAAGCCCTTGACAAAAAATTACTTATGCAGGTTCACGTCTTCGTGTAGCCCCCATATAACAGTACCTCCCGATATTCGGTATTTTGTTTATTTGTTTGCCACATTTTTCACCGGAATTGTTTAACATTTCGTATTTGAAGTTCGTAATAGTTTCTACAGCATATGACACTAAAATGCATATTCAGGTCCACGTGTTCGTCTAGCACCCATATAACGGTACCTTCCGATATGTGGTATTTTAATGATTTTAGCGCCATTATTCACCCTAATTGTTTCAAAGTTCGTATTTGAAGTTCGTAATGGATACTAAAGCCTTTGCAAAAAATTAATTATGCAGGTCCACATCTTCGTGTAGCCCCCATATAACATTACCTCCCAATATTCGGTATTTTGATAATAATTTGCTTATACTCCTAAGCAATCTTCTTTGCAACGCCAAAGACTAGCAACAAATCGGGTAAATAAATACCGTGAACGCAATCTCGGCAATTGAGGAGGCACAACTCATTTAACCGAAGAGTTGAACAACTACGTGATGCTGCCCAACATTCTTCGCCGACAAGATGCATTAAACAAACATTTTCGTAGACAGGATGATTCTTACAGGCAATTAGAGCGGGAAACAGACGCTATGAACCATCAAGCTCGTCGTCAGGACGAAACTTGCAGATTATCCGAGCAACAAAGGAATACTGGACAAAGCTCTGTTTGTCGGTAAAATGAATCCCAGAGGGATTTGGAGCGAGAGAGAGATGTATTAAGTTACAAGCAGACTCCATAAGACACAGGTCAAGACAGTTGAGCGAGTTCTACGAGATAATCAGGAGGGTCCAACAGAAATTTGTATTAGCTGCGGAGGGCTTTGGTTCATTAACCAAATTAAAAATATCAGTAAGATCACATTCTTGCGGAAATATCTTCATCTAACTGAAGTTTTCTTTCTAGCTTCAACATTTCCATCAGAAAAAAATCCATAAAAATTTTGAGATACGTATATCATGTATATTGCTCAAGGTGGAAAAATACCTTCAATATGCCTTTCCAAAAGATTACATTTCCCAGATATACCAGCGGACCTTCGTGGTTTAACATAGTTAGAATAGAGATTCGTTTCACCTAGAATACCCTTTATGAGAATCGTTTCCCTAGGATACAATCGCTAATGTGCTGTAAGAGGTGCCGTTTTAACGGAACAGTCAATCAAACTGATGTTGTGCAAGTTCACCTTAAGCGTAGACTACAAGACGAACACAGTTTCATGACGGAAACGATAAGTCCGGCGAAGATTTACAAAGCCGCAAGATATATTGTAAATACGGAACTCTACAAAAACACAACATAGTTCTTTCTAGCGACTGGTTAAATAGCATGGATTGTACACAAGAACAACCCTTTGCTTCTAACATTGAAGATCTCGAGTTAGTATAACAACTACATACAAGATTATGCGCGTAAAGTAAATCCACAAGAAACATTATTAAATAATAATCCTGTAAAGAATTTACCATCACAGAGAATTTTCATTGCCAAATGTGAGGGACAACGACCATTAGATATACGTGTGGAAAAAGTTTTATATTGCTATAAAAAATTAAAATTTTCCCGCATTAAAAATAGCATTTCCACATGCTTGAGAAAAAAAGTTAGAAATAGACAATTTACTGCTGCTGAAATTTTAGATGATTTACTTATCCAAAACCTTGTACTACGATGGCTCTGATATATTTAAAGGCGTACGATAGTAACCAGCTCTTATATGTATATATATATATATATATATATATATATATATATATATATATATATATATATATATATATATATATATATATATATATATATATATATATATATATATATATATATATATATATATGTATATATATATATATATATATATATATATATATATATATATACATAATATATATATATATATATATATACATATATATATATATATATATATATATATATATATATATATATATATATATATATATATATATACATACACATATATACTCCTAAAATGTGGGCCACATTTACTAACAGATTTTTCTAAGCTTCGGTACTTTGAGTTCCTAATGGGTTCTACCTTTTGTGACCGAATATTGTCTATATGGGTCCATGTTGCCCTATATCCCACATTTAGCGGTACCTCCATATATTCAGTATTTTGCCAATTTAAACCACCTTTTCTTAGAAAATTGTCCGATACTAACATTTCAAAGGTTCTCCCTTGTGAGACATCACTTTGCTAATAAAGGCCACATTCCCATATAGCCTTATATAATTGTTACCACATAAATTTGGTATTTTACTTTTAAAATTTTGCCAAAATATTCAAAGAAATTGTGTTAAATTCGGTATCTAAACTTCGCATTTGTTCTTACCTCCAGTGGCATGACACTAAGTAATTCTGGATAATCGATGTTTTGGTTATTTGTCCAAATTTGATCGGATTTGGTAAAAACAGGTTCTACATATGTGTATATACCCTTTGTATAGGTAAATTGAATAATTCGACCATATTCGGCGAAAGTCGGTCACAATTTGGACATATACCTGTACGATTGATTTGTTTCGTTTGGCAATATTTCGACAGAGCCTTTTTTTAATAAATTTTAGGTCCAGGTATACGACATTTAAATATATTGATATTGTCATAAAATGTCGTAAAATGTTAGAAAACTTAATGGTGTTTTAAAAAATTAATAAGTAAATGTAGGCATAACTATTATTAAACACCATAACACAGGACCTACCTGATAAATATTTGTTCCAACAATATTACCTAAATACATTATATGTTGTATTTTACCGTGTAGTGGGCTACATGTATTGTTAAATGTTCAATTTATTTTGATTCTATTGGTAGATTTGGAGTTTGGTTTGATAGGGTTTTAGTAGCAGCACGGTTCCGCAGCTGTAGCAACACCTTCTGGCAAAATATTTTGGTTCAGTTTCGTATGGACTGACATCGATCGGGACATCTCCACTAACGTGCGATTTGCACTTTCGGCAACAGCGTTTTGTTGTGGTGTATAAGCCACTGTTAACTGACGCAGAATGCCCTGTTCCTGCAAATATGCATCGAATTGCGAATCGCCTCCACTTTTTCTGGGCTCGTTTTGATGCCATCTCTAGATACAGCGAAGCCAATATATTCAACACTTTCCTTAAAAAAGTGAGATTCGAGAAACTCTCATGTTGGCTTCAAGCAATCTAGTCAAGACCCACGAAATGTGTCTAATGTGGTCTTCCTCGTTTTCGGAAAAAATTATAACATCGTCCACATAAACATAACATGTCTTTCCGATTTGTTCTCTCAAGACATCATCAATGGCTCAGGCCAAAAAGAAGTCTACAAAATTCATATTTTCCGTTTGCCACCGAAAATGAAGTTTTCTCTCTATCTTGGTCTTAGAGAGTAATCTTATGAAATCCTGATTTGAGGTCGAGAGTTTTAAAGTACCTTGCTTTGCCAAGGTTTGCTAGTATTGCTCTCACCTCTGGAATCTGATATTTATCATCGACTGTAATATTATTTAGTTTTCTGAAATCAATGACGATACGTTATTTAATGTTTCCTTGCTCATCCTTTCCCTTCTTCTCAACAACCCAGATAAGGTATGGGTACCTAGAAGCCCTTATTATTCCATTTTTTAACAACTCCTTTCCCATTGGGTATGGGTAGAGCTTGGAATACGTGGGATCAGTCGTAGTAGTACGAATTGTGGCCACGATATTCGTATTGTATGGAAGTGCCTAGTCTCACTTTTTTAAGGAAAGTGTTGCATATCTTGGCTTCGCCGTATCTAGAGATGGCATCAAAACGAGCCCAGAAAAAGTGGAGGCGATTCGCAATTACGAACAGTCCACTACGCTTTATAATATCAGCTCATTTCTAGGCCTGACAAGTTATTACAGATGTTTCATTAAAGACTTTGCTGCAATAGCAAAACCTCTGTATGACATTTTAAAAGGGGAGAATGAGAAGGTTAGCGCCTCTCAATCAAGGAAACATAAGATTAATTTTGATGACAATCAACTCCATGCTTTCCAAAGGTTGAAAGAAATCTTTGCCTCCGAAGGTGTCTTACTGTTATACCCTGATTTTAAAAAGCCATTTGATTTGACAACAGACGCTTCGGCATTAGGACTAGGGGCAGTGTTGTCTCAAGGTGGTAGGCCTATAACAATGATTTCCAGATCATTGACCAAAAGGGAGCTAAATTATGCCACTAATGAGCGTGAATTATTAGCTATTGTTTGGGCTCTAGGAAAATTGAGAAATTACCTTTATGGTGTTAGCAACTTGAACATCTTTACGGACCACCAACCCCTTAAGTTTGCAGTCTGAGACAAAAACCCAAACGCCAAAAACAAACGTTGGATGGCCTTTGTTGATGAACATAACGCCAAAATCTTCCACAAACCTGGAAAAGAAAATTATGTGGCAGACGCCCTCTCAAGACATGCGATACATTGTTTGGAATTAAATCCACACGACGCCGTGAATCCAGAATCTCAGATCTTACATGCACTGGAAGATGATATGTCATCAGAGGTAGCGACAGTACACAGTGAGATATCTTTGACTCATACGATTGACGCAACTGAAAAACCAGTCAACTGTTTCAAGAACCAGATTATACTCCACGAGGCGAACTTTCCTAAAACCAGAAAGTTCATCATTTATTCGGAGAAAGTCCGTCATATGATTGACTTCACTGACAAGAACACTCTAGTCAATGATGTGAAGTTACTAGTCAGCCCAAATGTTGTAAATGCCATTCATTGCAATCTACCTATTCTTGCGTGCATCCAGCACGAATTGGTAAGTCTTTTTCCAGGAACAAAATTTTGGCATTGCAAGAATATGGTTCAGGATATTTTTTATAGAAATCAACAAAGAGAGATAGTTGTTACTGAACATAATCGTGCTCATAGAGCAGCGCGGGAAAACGTTAAACAAATTCACTCAGACTATTACTTGCCAAATATGGGTAGGATAGCAAACGAAGTTGTGGCAAACTGTAGACTATGCACCAAAGCCAAATACATTAGGCACCCCAGGAAACAGGAGATGGGTTCAACACCGTTACCCTGCTATGTTGGTGAGATGCTGCATATCGATATATTTTCCACAGATAAGAAATATTTTCTAACCTGTGAATATAAATTTTCAAAGTTCGCTATAGTACAGACTATACCTTTACGAACCATAGCGGACCTAAAAGGTCCAATTTTACAATTAATCAATTTCTTTCCTCATACGAGGAATGCCTACTGCGACAATGAACCTTCATTAAAGTCCGATACAATAGGATCCCTATTACGAGACCAATTTGGTGTCAATATTTCCTACGCACCCCCACTTCATAGTGCTTCAAACGGCAAGGTGAACGCTTTCACAGTACCCTTTCAGAGATCTCAAGATGCCTCAAATTAGGAAAACAAGATTGAGAGGACGGTTGATCTAATCCTACTTGCAACAGTGAAATATAACCGAACCATACACTCAGTGACAAACCAAAGACCAATAGACATAATTCACTTTTCATCAGAAGATGGTAAAGAGAAGGTGAAAGAAGGATTAACTAACGCTCAACTGACTTCGTTAGAAAGAAACAACACCTCTCAACAGAACAGATCATTTAATGATGGATACAGAGTGATGGTAAGGAACAATAAACGGTTATGTAATAAACTAACCCCCATATATTCTGAGGAAATTGTTGAAGCAGATCTAGGAACAACTGCTCTTATACAAGGGAGGGTAGTCCACAAAGACAATTTAAGATAAAACGAACTCACCCTTACTACCTTTTTTTGAATAAATTACCTCTTTCAACTGATTTTGACAATGATACTATCCATCCGTCCAACGACAGCAACACTAATGGACTATTCCAACAGTAAATACATCCTGATTACAGACAGCAACGTGATTATTTGGAGAGATTTTGACTACTTGAGACATACAACAAACTTAATATTGCATTCTGAAATCGCAGATAAAACTGAAAGCCTCATTAAACACTTTTCTTTATCACACATGGTTAAATTACTAAATTCCGATACAATGCGGATACGAGACCTTTTAACAACTTTAGAAGTTCACCACAGACATGCAAGGAGCATCAATGTGATAGGAACAACTCTTAAAATAATAGCTGGAACGCCTGACTTTGATGACTTCGAGGGACTTAAATTTAAACAACAAGAAATCACAAACGCTATGAACAGACAAATATCAATAAACACAAAAACTCAGGAACAAATTAATAAATGTAGCTAAAATCATCAAAATACCGAATACTGGGAGGTACCGTTTATGGGAGCTATACGAAAACGTGAACCGACCCGGTCCATTCTCGAACTTAACCTGCCTACTGAAAAAATATACATGTGTGCAAAATTTTAGCCTTTAATCCAATTTTGTTCGAAAGATAGCGTGATTACAAAAGACAGGCAGACGAACTGACAGACGAACATCGATAAATCGATTTAGAATTGTACGCTGATCCAGAATATATAATCTTTGTGGGGTCTAACATGAGTATTTCGAGGAGTTACACACGGAATGACAAACTTAATATACCCTCCATAGTATGGTGGAGGGTATAAAAATTCTACGAAGTGACAATGGACGCGAGTAACTTAATATAGCATACAGACTCTATGATAAAGAATCTCACTGCATTATTGAGAAACGTGATGTAAGATTTGAAGAAAGTATATTCGAGAATTTCCCAAGTTTCGAATGTTCCCGTTGATGAAGATTCGGTAAAGATGGTTTTAATACTGCTGAAGAAGGAGAAGATATTACATGTGAAGAAGAAGAATCTGACGAAAACGCACTAAATAACGAGAACCAAATGGAAAAAAACTCAATCACAAGAGGAGCTCGTTGTTTCTGACATTCAGCCACAGGGGGAGAATTCGGAAAATATTTTTCAAGGGTAATCAAAAGGAGGTCATCCTAAAATAATTCGTGATGGTAAGCCTGGCGGACCTAAGAAGCAATATAATATGATAAATGGCTTGTCAACACAAGCAAATTTGGTTCCTCAAACTCTAACTGAAGCAGTATTTAGCAATACGTCAGCGGAATGGAAAAAAGCTATGAAGATTGAATACAATTGTTTGAATAAAAATCGAACCGGACCTTGTTTATTTGCCAACTGATAAAAATGCGATTGGATGCAAATGGGTTTATGACATAAGAGCTACGAAAAATGGTGATATAGAGCGATACAAAGCAAGACTTGTGGAAAAGGGCTGCAGCCAGAAATATGGTGTGAACTATCATCGTTATGCTAACATAAGACTTGTATTTGCCATAGCTGTTAACAAAGGTATGCATATACACCATACTAATGTTGTTAGTGCTTGTTTGAATGGTGATCTCAACGAGGAAGTCTACATGCAGCAACCAAAGATGTTCTTTGATGAAATACATCTACGGTCTTAAGTAATCTGGCCATGCGTGGAATGCAAAGTTAAATTCATGTGTGAAAAAGATTGGATCCTCAAGCTGTGATAATGAATCATGCTTGTACAAAATGAAAGTAGAAGGGGAACTTGTTTTATTAACAGTATATATTGATGACTTTCTTATTGCAAATAAAGATAAAGCTTTTATCAAAAAAAGGAAACTTAAGATTAATTTTGATGAAAATCAACTCCAAGCTTTCCAAAGGTTGAAAGAAATCTTTGCCTCCGAAGGTGTCTTACTGTTATACCCTGATTTTAAAAAGCCATTTGATTTGACAACAGACGCTTCGGCATTAGGACTACGGGCAGTGTTGTCTCAAGGTGGTAGGCCTATAACAATGATTTCCAGATCATTGACCAAAAGGGAGCTTAATTATGCCACCAATAAGCGTGGCTTATTTGCTATTGTTTGGGCTCTAGGAAAATTGAGAAATTACTTTTATGGTGTTAGAAACTTGAACATCTTTACGGACCACCAACACCTTACGTTTGCGGTCAGAGACAAAAACCCAAACGCCAAAATCAAACGTTGGATGGCCTTTGTTGATGAACATAACGCCAAAATCTTCCACCAACCTGGAAAAGAAATTATGTGGCAGACGCCCTCTCAAGACATGCCATATATTGTGTGGAATTAAATCACACGACGCCGTGAATCCAGACTCTCAGATCTTATATGCATTGGAAGATGATATGTCATCAGAGGTAGCGACAGTACACAGTGAGATATCTTTGACTCATACGATTGACGCAACTGACAAACCAGTCAACTGTTTCAAGAACCAGATTATACTCCACGAGGCGAACTTTCCTAAAACCAGAAAGTTCATCATTTATTCGGAGAAAGTCCGTCATATGATTGACTTCACTGACAAGAACACTCTAGTCAATGATGTGAAGTTACTAGTCAGCCCAAATGTTGTAAATGCCATTCATTGCAATCTACCTATTCTTGCGTGCATCCAGCACGAATTGGTAAGTCTTTTTCCAGGAACAAAATTTTGGCATTGCAAGAATATGGTTCAAGATATTTTTTATAGAAATCAACAAAGAGAGATAGTTGTTACTGAACATAATCGTGCTCATAGAGCAGCGCAGGAAAACGTTAAACAAATTCACTCAGACTATTACTTGCCAAATATGGGTAGGATAGCAAACGAAGTTGTGGCAAACTGTAGACTATGCACCAAAGCCAAATACATTAGGCACCCCAGGAAACAGGGGATGGGTTCAACACCGTTACCCTGCTATGTTGGTGAGAGGCTGCATATCGATATATTTTCCACAGATAAGAAATACTTTCTAACCTGTGTATACAAAGTTCGCTATAGTACAGACTATACCTTTACGAACCAAAGCAATTTCTTTCCTCATACGAGGAATGTCTACTGCGACAATGAACCTTCATTAAAGTCCGAGACAATAGGATCCCTATTACGAGACCAATTTGGTGTCAATATTTCCTACGCACCTCCACTTCATAGTGCTTCAAACCGCAAGGTGAACGCTTTCACAGTACCCTTTCAGAGATCTCAAGATGCCACAAATTAGAAAAAAAAAGATTGAGAGGACGGTTGATCTAATCCTACTTGCAACAGTGAAATATAACCGAACCATACACTCAGTGACAAACCAAAGACCAATAGACATAATTCACTTTTCATCAGAAGATGGTAAAGAGAAGGTGAAAGAAGGATTAACTAACGCTCAACTGACTTCGTTAGAAAGAAACAACACCTCTCGACAGAACAGATCATTTAATGATGGATACAGAGTGATGGTAAGGAACAATAAACGGTTATGTAATAAACTAACCCCCTATATTCTGAGGAAATTGTTGAAGCAGATCTAGGAACAACTGTTCTTATAAAAGGGAGGGTAGCCAAAAAAACAATTTAAGATAAAACGAACTCTCCCTTACTACCTTTTTTTTAATAAATTACCTTTTTCAACTGATTTTGACAATGATACTATCCATCCGTCCAACGACAGCAACACTAATGGACTATTCCAACAGTAAATACATCTCGATTACAGACGGCAACGTGATTATTTGGAGAGATTTTGACTACTTGAGACGTACAACAAACTTAACATCGTATTCTGAAATCGCAGATGAAACTGAAAACCGCACCTAACATTTTTCTTTATAACACATGGTTAAATTAATAAATTCCGATATAATGTGGATACGAGACCTTTTAACAACTTTAGAAGTTCAGCACAGACATGCAAGTAGCATCAATGTGATAGGAACAATTCTTAAAATAATTGCTGGAACGCCTGACTTTGATGACTTCGAGGGACTTAAATTTAAACAACAAGAAATCACAAACGCTATAAACAGACAAGACAACGAAGACGTGGACCTGAATATGCAATTTTGTGTCATATGCTGCAGAATCTAAATGGAAAGGTAATACGGGATCTGCCTGAAAAATATTTGTTCAAGCAATATTGCCTTCATACATTATATGTTGTATTTTACCGTGTAGTTGGCCACATGTATTGTTAAATAATAATTTTGTTTTGATTCGAGTAAATGAATACCGTGAACGCAATCCATCTGACAGGCCTAGAAATGCTTTGTGTATAGTAACCAGGCGGCTAAAGGCAAATTTCCGGAAGAATAACGAGTTTCTCGGCAATTGAGGAGGCATAACTCATTTAACGTAGAGTTGAACAACTACGTGATACTGCCCAACATTCCCTTCGCCGACAAAGTGTAACATATAGGCAATTCGAGCGTGAACGAGAAGCATTAAACAACTTCGTAGGCAGGATGAATCTTAGAGGCAAATAGAGCGGGAAAGAGACGCTATGAACCACAAAGCTCGTCGTCAGGACGAAAACCACAGATTATCCGAACAACGCTCTGTTCGTCGGGAAGATGAACCATCAAGCTCGTCGTCAAGACGAAACCTACAGATTATCCGAGCAACAAAGAAATGCTGCACAACGCTCTGTTCGTCGGGAAGATGAATCCCAGAGGCAATTAAAACGAGATAGGGATACATTAAGCCATCGAGTTAGTCGCCTGGAAGAAGTCTATAGAAGATTGGAGCGAGAGAGATGCATTAAGTCACCAGGTTCGTCGCCAGGATGGAGTTTATGGTCAACAAGAACGAGAAAGAGGTGCCTTCAATTACCAGGCTCTCCAGCAGGATAAGATTTTAGACAACAAGAACGAGAAACGCATTAAATCACCAGGTTCGTCGCCAAGGTGAAAATTATAGAACTAGAACGAGAAAGAGATGCATTTTATCACCAAGCTCTTCGGCAGGATGAAGTTTATAGACAAAAAGAACGAGAAAGAGAGGCTCGTAGGCAAGATGAATTGTATAGAGAAATGGAGCGAGAGAGATGTTCTAAACCGTCAAGTTCGTCGGCAGGATGAAACGTACAGACAACTTGAGCAAAAGGGGGCGGGGGGTACTTTTCGTCGTTCCCAACGTAGACGTAATGAGAACTAGAGACAAACCGAACGTGAATTGGACTCACAACGTCGCAATGTTCGAAGACACGATGTAACTTATCGCACAATTGAACCAGTCCGTAATACTGAACAACGTCGCGAAGCGCGACGAGTTGCTAGTCAGGGATTTCAGGAGTAGAATAGGATTAGACATTGTCGTGTCTTAATTCATTGGATGAATCCTTACAATCGTGAACGTTAAAATAGCCTTCAGTCGAAGAGAAGTGCTAACAAAATCTTTCCCCAGAATCCCGCAGGGAAATGTTACAAGCACACTCCATACGACACAGGTCAAGACAATTGAGCGAGTTCTACGATATAATCAGGGGTCCAACAGAAATTTGTATTTGCTGCGGAAGGCTTTGGTTCATTAAACAAATTAAAAATATCAGTAAGATCACATTATTGCAGAAATATGCACATCTAACTGAATTTTTCTTTCTAGCTTCAACATTTCCATCAGAAAAAATTCCATACAAATTTTGAGATACGTATATCATGTATGTTGCTCAAGGTGGAAAAATACCTTCAATATGCCTTTCTAAAAGGTTACATTTCCCAGATATACCAGATGACCTTTGTGGTTTAACATAGTTAGAACAGCGATTCGTTTCACCTTGAATACCCTTTATGAGAATCGCTTCCCTAGGATACAATCGCCAATGTGCTGTAAGAGGTGCCGTTTTAACGTACCAATTTAGTTAAATACAACTCTGAATGTGATTCCACGAACAGTCAATCATACAATACGAACACAGTTTCATGACTGAAGCGATATGCCCGGCGAAGATTTAGAAAGCCGCAAGATATCTTATAAATACGGTAAATACAAAATACACAACATAGTTCTTCTAGCGATTGGTTAAATAGCATGGACTGTAAATAAGAACAACCCTTTGTTTCTAACGTTGAAGATCTCAAGTTAGTATCGCGGTTAAACAATGCCACCTTTATACAAGATGATGTGGGTGAAGTAAATCCACAAGAAACATGATTCGGTAATAATCCTGTAAAGAATTTATCATTGCAGAGTATTTCCATTGCCCCAGGTGAGGGACAGCAACCATTAGATATGCTCTTGGATGAGGATTCTGAGAAACTGTACCATACTTCAATATACTGCGGTGGTAAAAAATTGCACTGCTACTATTTGAAAAATTATTAAGTTTGTAGTTCGGCGTTATGACAGACGGTGTGCCCGTGTGGAAAAAGTCTTATATTGCTATAGTAGCATTTCCACATGCTTGAGAAAAAAAGTTGGAATTAGACAATTTACTGCTGCTTAAATTCTAGATGATTAACTTATCCAAACCTTGTGCAACATGACGACGGCTATTATATATTTAAAGGCGTACGATAGTCACCAGCTCATTGGGAAGGGAAAAAAAATATGTTTTGGCCATGATTAGACAGCTAGGACTACCGACATTTTTAGAACTATATTCGCAGCTGAATCCCAATGGCCAGAATTACATTAAATTGGTAAAAATTTTGGAAGGAAAAGATTTTAATGAAGAAGAAGCAATATCTTACTCAACCCAGAAAAAATATGATCTTATATATATATATATATATATATATATATATATATATATATATATATATATACATTGTCTAACATTGGTATTACGAGGAGTTACCAACGGAATGACAAACTTAATATACCCTCCATTGTATGGTGGAGATGTCCCGATGTTAGTGGAGATGTCCCGATGAATGTTAGTCCATGCGAAACTGAACCAAAATATGTGGGCAGAAGGTGTTGCTACAGCTGCGGAATCGTGCACCTACTAAAACCCTATGAATCCATATGAAAGCTTGTCATATTTGTTATATTTTGAATGTCAGTAGAAGTCGAATCAGTAGAAATGAAGTGGCCAATGAAGTTCGCCACTGGTTGGAATGTAGCATCATCAGAAATGTTTAATTGAGGTGCGTTATGTAACCAGTATATTCCATGGGGAGATCCTCGCTGTTGAAACTCTTTTCTCAAGTAATGTTCAATAACATAATGGTCTTTAAATATTCCATCATTGGACCTGAAAAATTTAAATAAATGTCTTACTCTCTGATAGAAATACCTAGAGCATGTTATTAGATCTCTTCGGATAAGATCATATTTTTTCTGGGTTGAGTAAGATATTGCTTCTTCTTCATTAAAATCCTTTCCTTCCAAAATTTTTACCAATTTAATGTAATTCTGGCCATTGGGATTCAGCTGCGAATATAGTTCTAAAAATGTCGGTAGTCCTAGCTGTCTAATCATGGACAAAACATATTTATTTTTTTCCCTTCCCAATGAGCTGGTGACTATCGTACGCCTTTAAATATATAATAGCCGTCGTCATGTTGCACAAGGTTTGGATAAGTTAATCATCTAGAATTTAAGCAGCAGTAAATTGTCTAATTCCAACTTTTTTTCTCAAGCATGTGGAAATGCTACTATAGCAATATAAGACTTTTTCCACACGGGCACACCGTCTGTCATAACGCCGAACTACAAACTTAATAATTTTTCAAATAGTAGCAGTGCAATTTTTTACCACCGCAGTATATTGAAGTATGGTACAGTTTCTCAGAATCCTCATCCAAGAGCATATCTAATGGTTGCTGTCCCTCACCTGGGGCAATGGAAATACTCTGCAATGGTAAATTCTTTACAGGATTATTACCGAATCATGTTTCTTGTGGATTTACTTCACCCACATCATCTTGTATAAAGGTGGCAATGTTTAACCGCGATACTAACTCGAGATCTTCAACGTTAGAAACAAAGGGTTGTTCTTATTTACAATCCATGCTATTTAACCAATCGCTAGAAGAACTATGTTGTGTATTTTGTATTTACCGTATTTATAAGATATCTTGCGGCTTTCTAAATCTTCGCCGGGCATATCGCTTCAGTCATGAAACTGTGTTCGTATTGTAGTCTACGCTTAAGGTAAACTTGCACAACTTCAGTATGATTGACTGTTCGCGGAATCACATTCAGAGTTGTATTTAACTAAATTGGTACGTTAAAACGGCACCTCTTACAGCACATTGGCGATTGTATCCTAGGGAAGCGATTCTCATAAAGGGTATTCAAGGTGAAACGAATCGCTGTTCTAACTATGTTAAACCACAAAGGTCATCTGGTATATCTGGGAAATGTAACCTTTTAGAAAGGCATATTGAAGGTATTTTTCCACCTTGAGCAACATACATGATATACGTATCTCAAAATTTGTATGGAATTTTTTCTGATGGAAATGTTGAAGCTAGAATGAAAAATTCAGTTAGATGTGCATATTTCTGCAATAATGTGATCTTACTGATATTTTTAATTTGTTTAATGAACCAAAGCCTTCCGCAGCAAATACAAATTTCTGTTGGACCCCTGATTATATCGTAGAACTCGCTCAATTGTCTTGACCTGTGTCGTATGGAGTGTGCTTGTAACATTTCCCTGCGGGATTCTGGGGAAAGATTTTGTTAGCACTTCTCTTCGACTGAAGGCTATTTTAACGTTCACGATTGTAAGGATTCATCCAATGAATTAAGACACGACAATGTCTAATCCTATTCTACTCCTGAAATTCCTGACTAGCAACTCGTCGCGCTTCGCGACGTTGTTCAGTATTACGGACTGGTTCAATTGTGCGATAAGTTACATCGTGTCTTCGAACATTGCGACGTTGTGAGTCCAATTCACGTTCGGTTTGTCTCTAGTTCTCATTACGTCTACGTTGGGAACGACGAAAAGTACCCCCCGCCCCCTTTTGCTCAAGTTGTCTGTACGTTTCATCCTGCCGACGAACGTGACGGTTTAGAACATCTCTCTCGCTCCATTTCTCTATACAATTCATCTTGCCTACGAGCCTCTCTCTCTCGTCCTTTTTGTCTATAAACTTCATCCTGCCGAAGAGCTTGGTGATAAAATGCATCTCTTTCTCGTTCCAGTTCTATAATTTTCACCTTGGCGACGAACCTGGTGATTTAATGCGTTTCTCGTTCTTGTTGTCTAAAATCTTATCCTGCTGGAGAGCCTGGTAATTGAAGGCACCTCTTTCTCGTTCTTGATGACCATAAACTCCATCCTGGCGACGAACCTGGTGACTTAATGCATCTCTCTCACTCCAATCTTCTATAGACTTCATCCAGGCGACTAACTCGATGGCTTAATGTATCCCTATCTCGTTTTAATTGCCTCTGGGATTCATCTTCCCGACGAACAGAGCGTTGTGCAGCATTTCTTTGTTGCTCGGATAATCTGTAGGTTTCGTCCTGACGACGAGCTTGATGGTTCATCTTCCCGACGAACAGAGCGTTGTTCGGATAATCTGTAGTTTTCGTCCTGACGACGAGCTTTGTGGTTCATAGCGTCTCTTTCCCGCTCTATTTGCCTCTAAGATTCATCCTGCCTACGAAGTTGTTTAATGCTTCTCGTTCACGCTCGAATTGCCTATATGTTACACTTTGTCGGCGAAGGGAATGTTGGGCAGTATCACGTAGTTGTTCAACTCTACGTTAAATGAGTTATGCCTCCTCAATTGCCGAGAAACTCGTTATTCTTCCGGAAATTTGCCTTTAGCCGCCTGGTTACTATACACAAAGCATTTCTAGGCCTGTCAGATGGATTGCGTTCACGGTATTCATTTACTCGAATCAAAACAAAATAATTATTTAACAATACATGTGGCCAACTACACGGTAAAATACAACATATAATGTATGAAGGCAATATTGCTTGAACAAATATTTTTCAGGCAGATCCCGTATTACCTTTCCATTTAGATTCTGCAGCATATGACACAAAATTGCATATTCAGGTCCACGTCTTCGTTGTCTTGTCTGTTTATAGCGTTTGTGATTTCTTGTTGTTTAAATTTATGTCCCTCGAAGTCATCAAAGTCAGGCGTTCCAGCAATTATTTTAAGAATTGTTCCTATCACATTGATGCTACTTGCATGTCTGTGATGAGCTTCTAAAGTTGTTAAAAGGTCTCGTATCCACATTATATCGGAATTTAGTAATTTAACCATGTGTTATAAAGAAAAATGTTAGGTGAGGTTTTCAGTTTCATCTGCGATTTCAGAATACGATGTTAAGTTTGTTGTACGTCTCAAGTAGTCAAAATCTCTCCAAATAATCACGTTGCCGTCTGTAATCGAGATGTATTTACTGTTGGAATAGTCCATTAGTGTTGCTGTCGTTGGACGGATGGATAGTATCATTGTCAAAATCAGTTGAAAAAGGTAATTTATTCAAAAAAAAGGTAGTAAGGGAGAGTTCGTTTTATCTTAAATTGTCTTTGTGGACTACCCTCCCTTTTATAAGAACAGTTGTTCCTAGATCTGCTTCAACAATTTCCTCAGAATATAGGGGGTTAGTTTATTACATAACCGTTTATTGTTCCTTACCATCACTCTGTATCCATAATTAAATGATCTGTTCTGTCGAGAGGTGTTGTTTCTTTCTAACGAAGTCAGTTGAGCGTTAGTTAATCCTTCTTTCACCTTCTCTTTACCATCTTCTGATGAAAAGTGAATTATGTCTATTGGTCTTTGGTTTGTCACTGAGTGTATGGTTCGGTTATATTTCACTGTTGCAAGTAGGATTAGATCAACCGTCTTCTCAATCTTTTTGTTTCTAATTTGTGGCATCTTGAGATCTCTGAAAGGGTACTGTGAAAGCGTTCACCTTGCCGTTTGAAGCACTATGAAGTGGGGGTGCGTAGGAAATATTGACACCAAATTGGTCTCGTAATAGGGATCCTATTGTCTCGGACTTTAATGAAGGTTCATTGTCGCAGTAGACATTCCTCGTATGAGGAAAGAAATTGCTATGGTTCGTAAAGGTATAGTCTGTACTATAGCGAACTTTGTATACACAGGTTAGAAAGTATTTCTTATCTGTGGAAAATATATCGATATCCAGCCTCTCACCATGATAGGAGGGAAACGGTGTTGAACCCATCTCCTGTTTCCTGGGGTGCCTAATGTATTTGGCTTTGGTGCATACTCTACAGTTTGCCACAACTTCGTTTGCTATCCTACCCATATTTGGCAAGTAATAGTCTGAGTGAATTTGTTTAACGTTTTCCTGCGCTGCTCTATGAGCACGATTATGTTCAGTAACAACTATCTCTCTTTGTTGATTTCTATAAAAAATATCTTGAACCATATTCTTGCAATGCCAAAATTTTGTTCCTGGAAAAAGACTTACCAATTCGTGCTGGATGCACGCAAGAATAGGTAGATTGCAATGAATGGCATTTACAACATTTGGGCTGACTAGTAACTTCACATCATTGACTAGAGTGTTCTTGTCAGTGAAGTCAATCATATGACGGACTTTCTCCGAATAAATGATGAACTTTCTGGTTTTAGGAAAGTTCGCCTCGTGGAGTATAATCTGGTTCTTGAAACAGTTGACTGGTTTGTCAGTTGCGTCAATCGTATGAGTCAAAGATATCTCACTGTGTACTGTCGCTACCTCTGATGACATATCATCTTCCAATGCATATATGATCTGAGAGTCTGGATTCACGGCGTCGTGTGATTTAATTCCACACAATATATGGCATGTCTTGAGAGGGCGTCTGCCACATAATTTTCTTTTCCAGGTTGGTGGAAGATTTTGGCGTTATGTTCATCAACAAAGGCCATCCAACGTTTGATTTTGGCGTTTGGGTTTTTGTCTCAGACCGCAAACGTAAGGTGTTGGTGGTCCGTAAAGATGTTCAAGTTTCTAACACCATAAAAGTAATTTCTCAATTTTCCTAGAGCCCAAACAATAGCAAATAAGCCACGCTTATTGGTGGCATAATTAAGCTCCCTTTTGGTCAATGATCTGGAAATCATTGTTATAGGCCTACCACCTTGAGACAACACTGCCCCTAGTCCTAATGCCGAAGCGTCTGTTGTCAAATCAAATGGCTTTTTAAAATCAGGGTATAACAGTAAGACACCTTCGGAGGCAAAGATTTCTTTCAACCTTTGGAAAGCTTGGAGTTGATTTTCATCAAAATTAATCTTAAGTTTCCTTTTTTTGATAAAAGCTTTATCTTTATTTGCAATAAGAAAGTCATCAATATATACTGTTAATAAAACAAGTTCCCCTTCTACTTTCATTTTGTACAAGCATGATTCATTATCACAGCTTGAGGATCCAATCTTTTTCACACATGAATTTAACTTTGCATTCCACGCATGGCCAGATTACTTAAGACCGTAGATGTATTTCATCAAAGAACATCTTTGGTTGCTGCATGTATACTTCCTCGTTGAGATCACCATTCAAACAAGCACTAACAACATCAATATGGTGTATATGCATACCTTTGTTAACAGCTATGGCAAATACAAGTCTTATGTTAGCATAACGTATGACTGGTGAGAATGTTTCATGATAGTTCACACCATATTTCTGGCTGCAGCCCTTTTCCACAAGTCTTGCTTTGTATCGCTCTATATCACCATTTTTCGTAGCTTTTATGTCATAAACCCATTTGCATCCAATCGCATTTTTATCAGTTGGCAAATAAACAAGGTCCGGTTCGATTTTTATTCAAACAATTGTATTCAATCTTCATAGCTTTTTTCCATTCCGCTGACGTATTGCTAAATACTGCTTCAGTTAGAGTTTGAGGAACCAAATTTGCTTGTGTTGACAAGCCATTTATCATATTATATTGCTTCTTAGGTCCGCCAGGCTTACCATCACGAATTATTTTAGGATGACCTCCTCATCCTTTTGATTACCCTTGAAAAATATTTTCCGAATTCTCCCCCTGTGGCTGAATGTCAGAAACAACGAGCTCCTCTTGTGATTGAGTTTTTTCCATTTGGTTCTCGTTATTTAGTGCGTTTTCGTCAGATTCTTCTTCTTCACATGTAATATCTTCTCCTTCTTCAGCAGTATTAAAACCATCTTTACCGAATCTTCATCAACGGGAACATTCGAAACTTGGGAAATTCTCGAATATACTTTCTTCAAATCTTACATCACGTTTCTCAATAATGCAGTGAGATTCTTTATCATAGAGTCTGTATGCTATATTAAGTTACTCGCGTCCATTGTCACTTCGTAGAATTTTTATACCCTCCACCATACTATGGAGGGTATATTAAGTTTGTCATTCCGTGTGTAACTCCTCGAAATACTCATGTTAGACCCCACAAAGATTATATATTCTGGATCAGCGTACAATTCTAAATCGATTTATCGATGTTCGTCTGTCAGTTCGTCTGCCTGTCTTTTGTAATCACGCTATCTTTCGAACAAAATTGGATTAAAGGCTAAAATTTTGCACACATGTATATTTTTTCAGTAGGCAGGTTAAGTTCGAGAATGGACCGGGTCGGTTCACGTTTTCGTATAGCTCCCATAAACGGTACCTCCCAGTATTCGGTATTTTGATGATTTTAGCTACATTTATTAATTTGTTCCTGAGTTTTTGTGTTTATTGATATTTGTCTGTTCATAGCGTTTGTGATTTCTTGTTGTTTAAATTTAAGTCCCTCGAAGTCATCAAAGTCAGGCGTTCCAGCTATTATTTTAAGAGTTGTTCCTATCACATTGATGCTCCTTGCATGTCTGTGGTGAACTTCTAAAGTTGTTAAAAGGTCTCGTATCCGCATTGTATCGGAATTTAGTAATTTAACCATGTGTGATAAAGAAAAGTGTTTAATGAGGCTTTCAGTTTTATCTGCGATTTCAGAATGCAATATTAAGTTTGTTGTATGTCTCAAGTAGTCAAAATCTCTCCAAATAATCACGTTGCTGTCTGTAATCAGGATGTATTTACTGTTGGAATAGTCCATTAGTGTTGCTGTCGTTGGACGGATGGATAGTATCATTGTCAAAATCAGTTGAAAGAGGTAATTTATTCAAAAAAAGGTAGTAAGGGTGAGTTCGTTTTATCTTAAATTGTCTTTGTGGACTACCCTCCCTTGTATAAGAGCAGTTGTTCCTAGATCTGCTTCAACAATTTCCTCAGAATATATGGGGGTTAGTTTATTACATAACCGTTTATTGTTCCTTACCATCACTCTGTATCCATCATTAAATGATCTGTTCTGTTGAGAGGTGTTGTTTCTTTCTAACGAAGTCAGTTGAGCGTTAGTTAATCCTTCTTTCACCTTCTCTTTACCATCTTCTGATGAAAAGTGAATTATGTCTATTGGTCTTTGGTTTGTCACTGAGTGTATGGTTCGGTTATATTTCACTGTTGCAAGTAGGATTAGATCAACCGTCCTCTCAATCTTGTTTTCCTAATTTGAGGCATCTTGAGATCTCTGAAAGGGTACTGTGAAAGCGTTCACCTTGCCGTTTGAAGCACTATGAAGTGGGGGTGCGTAGGAAATATTGACACCAAATTGGTCTCGTAATAGGGATCCTATTGTATCGGACTTTAATGAAGGTTCATTGTCGCAGTAGGCATTCCTCGTATGAGGAAAGAAATTGATTAATTGTAAAATTGGACCTTTTAGGTCCGCTATGGTTCGTAAAGGTATAGTCTGTACTATAGCGAACTTTGAAAATTTATATTCACAGGTTAGAAAATATTTCTTATCTGTGGAAAATATATCGATATGCAGCATCTCACCAACATAGCAGGGTAACGGTGTTGAACCCATCTCCTGTTTCCTGGGGTGCCTAATGTATTTGGCTTTGGTGCATAGTCTACAGTTTGCCACAACTTCGTTTGCTATCCTACCCATATTTGGCAAGTAATAGTCTGAGTGAATTTGTTTCACGTTTTCCCGCGCTGCTCTATGAGCACGATTATGTTCAGTAACAACTATCTCTCTTTGTTGATTTCTATAAAAAATATCCTGAACCATATTCTTGCAATGCCAAAATTTTGTTCCTGGAAAAAGACTTACCAATTCGTGCTGGATGCACGCAAGAATAGGTAGATTGCAATGAATGGCATTTACAACATTTGGGCTGACTAGTAACTTCACATCATTGACTAGAGTGTTCTTGTCAGTGAAGTCAATCATATGACGGACTTTCTCCGAATAAATGATGAACTTTCTGGTTTTAGGAAAGTTCGCCTCGTGGAGTATAATCTGGTTCTTGAAACAGTTGACTGGTTTGTCAGTTGCGTCAATCGTATGAGTCAAAGATATC